ATCCATGTGATTGTATTGTTATAAACCCGTTCCCTCCCTAATGCTTCTTGTACTCATTCAATGTGTTTTGAAATGTAGGTGATAACCTGGCATAAAGGGTGCTCTGTCTTTTTATGTCTTGCTTTTGAATGCTATTAAAAAAAAAAAAGAAAAATACAAAACCACCAAAATATGTTTAAGCATAAGCTGAGTATCCATGTGATTGTATTGTTATAAACCCGTTCCCTCCCTAATGCTTCTTGTACTCATTCAATGTGTTTTGAAATGTAGGTGATAACCTGGCATAAAGGGTGCTCTGTCTTTTTATGTCTTGCTTTTGAATGCTATTTAAAAAAAAAAAATCTCGGCACCAAGTAACAAATGTGAGAAAAATCTAAAACTGACATTTTTACCTTTTGTGGATAATTTGTGAAATATACAGTAGAAGTTTTCAAGTCATCTGAACAGAAATATCAGACTTTTTATTTGTGAGAGAGCTGTAACTGCATCGGTGGCTTAACATTCACTGCTAATCCATTTCATGTTAGGGGTTAGAGCTACCTGACGTTGCAATGTCCTGTGCCACATGGGTGGCTTTAACTAAAATCATCTCAATGTTCTGCCATTCAAATGTTGCTCGTGGTCATTACAGGTAGGAATAAGCATCTGGAGATTCCTTTCATGTCACGGGAAGAGATTCAAGATGTTTTAAGGAGCCATATAGAGGACTGCCCTGAAGAGCTTATTACAGAACTTGCCGAACATTTAATACGGTAAGTGCACTAATTCATCTTGGTAAAATTGGGTGTTTAATGCTTCATTCTAAATGAATCTCCTCCTGCTTGCTTTGACTAGAAGAATAGTACTTTTTTTTTTCTGAGATTGAGAGAGAGAGAAGTCAGAATTGTAGTTCTTGCTACTTGATGTGGCTCAGTCTAATATTGCAAACCTCCTGGCATATCAGAAATCTGTGTTGATACGACATTCTAGGAAATGCTGCTTCTGTATGGCTGGCAGTTTGTATTACGTCATCTGCCAGCCAGCATATTCTGTACTGTGAGAGTGACCTTAGAAAAACCCACACCATTTTAAGTGCATCTTAACTGTCTGATCTGACATCAGTTCAGTGACCATTTGGAACAGTATATAAATAGCATCCTCACTGGACATCTTATACGCTTTTTCCCCCCCTCTTGTTTGGATTTAGGGACAAGTTTTACAGGCCTGTGAAATTGAAAACATTGACAAGGACTTAACTATATCATAACAAATTGTGCTGCCAAAAGTACCAGAAATACATGATATGCGTACATTTTAATAATCTATCATCACTTATGCACTATTATTTTTAGATACACTTTTATCGCATTCTGGAATGTACATCTGGAACAGGAGTGTAACAACCTTGTCATTAATAGTGAATGTATTTGGATAAACCCTACTTTTTTTAAATAATTTTAAGATCTTCCTTTTTTTTTCCTGTTCTGAGGTCCCTAACAAAGAGCTACCAGGAAGTGGTACGTTCAGTATTCGTGTCTTCAACCTCTTCTTCATCTGGAGCTAGCAGGAGGCGGACCATCAAGGATTTGCAGGAAGAAGTTTCAAACTTGTACAATAATATCCGATTATTTGAAAAGGGAACAAAGCATTTTACAGGTACAATAAATATTTCCTTAAAAAAAATATGAACACCTCAGTACTAGAAAGGTGATGACATTTGAATATATTAAGAAAAGAGCGACAAAATATTAAGGATGCAAACTATGCTGTCATTGAGTAGAATCTGTTTTAGCTAAAGCCCTAGTTTTATTTAAATGATGTAAATTCCAAGGAGGGGGAGGAATTACAGTGGTACAGTAAGGGTGTAAAATGTATCTGTGGGAAGTTTAGGATGAAACTAAGAACAGGGAAATTATGCTGAATATGAGGAAAAGTATCCTGATGACATTTGTTTGATTGTGGAGTAGTCTCCTAACTGAAGTAGTAGAACCCTCATCACTTGAATCACTTAAAACATGGATGGACAAATCACTGGGCAATATACTGTAGTCAAGGCTTCTCAAATTTCTTCACATTATGGACAACATCTTAATTTAGACTGTCTCCCCTGCCATTCACACTTGCATAGCATCACTGTGGCAACTACAGTTCTTGCTTACATGTGAAAAGTAGCATTAGAGGAAAAATGAAATATTTCTAACTGTCTCTAAAGCAGTAAGTTGTCTGCCTTTTTGACATATAGTAATCATACGGTCTCTTTTTGCCTTTCATTACATTTACCCCTAGAATCTGTTCCTCTTCATCCTGCATGTGTTTCTGTGCACCTCCTTCCTGCACTGTCTGTTTAGTTCCCTGAAGGTGCTGCCTCTTTGCCTAGTTCCTGGAACCCTGCTGCTTTAGTCCCTTTTCTCCTGCTCTCCAGGATATTTCTCTCTCTTGCGGTGGCTGGCAGCTCCAGTCTTATTTGTGGTTCAGGAGCTGTCCTTAGGCACCAGTTTCTTCTCCTCCTTATGTAGCTGCATCCCCTAGTAGTATCAGCTGCTCTGACTCCTCCGTTCCAGTTGCATTTTCAGGCCTCCAGGCTCTTGCTTGCAGTGAGGAACTTTGGACCCCTATAGAAGCAGCTGGAAACAAGAAGAGCTTGCACTACATGTCCAGCTACCTTTCTGTGAACCACCAGTAGTCCTTAGCCCACTGCATGGGAGCCACCGCTGTAGGGAAATCTGAACTGTCATGTGGGTGGATTAGACAACATAATAAGTTACTTTCTTACTCTGCTTTTACTTACAGAAATTATATCTTACAGATGAGACACAAACTAATCTTGCCAAACACATGCTGAAGACAGTTTGTACAGACATCACAAATCTTATTTTCAACTTTCTTGCTACCGATTTAATGATAGCATCAGAAGATTGTACTGCCATTACAAGTGAGGTATGTAGATACCACTTTTATTCCTCTTTAAGGCAGTTTCATTTTAATAATCACAGTATTACTGTTCTTTCCTAACTATTTGCAACAGCTTTTCAGTTATAAAGTACTGACATGAAGGTAGGCCTGAAATTTATGTGTAAAACAATATTATGTTTTTTTCCCAACAGGTCAGGAAAAAGATTTTAGGTAAATTACCCGAAGAGACCAGAGGTCCTTTAACTAAGCTACATACTTCTCTGAATGGCAAGGTAAATTGCTCCAAACACTTCCAGAGTTCAGATTATCCATTCTACTAATGTAATGCTAATACTCAGCTGAGTTAAAGATTCGGATAGGTGATTACTGTTGCTGTGAAGGCTGCATACAAATATCCTCAATCCAAATTCTTGTAAATCAGTAAGAATAAGTCAATCTTCATCCCATAAACATTTTTAAGGGACTTGGGGGCAATCTCAATTTATGATGTTGGCAGTAGAGATTAAAATGCAGTTTCTTAAACTTCATTTAGCACACGCGATATTTCATGTATCCTCCCCCTAAAATTCTTGAGCCCTCACCTCTGTAGGCATTTAGCCATCATAATCATTAAATTGTGGACTATAGCAGCTATAAAACAAAACTGGAAAGAACCAGTTACTGCCTAATGTACAAAAAATGCTTATCATATTTTTCTTAAGAAAAGTAAACACCGTGTATACTCATTCATAAGCCGAATGTTTTTGGTAAAAAAGGTGACGCATCAGAGCGGGGGTCGGCTTATAAATGGGTCTACACCAAAATTTGATGATTTTAAACTCTATGGAATTATTGACTTGAATATCTAATACATTGTCGATTTGTTTTCCTGGAGTGTCTGCAGGCATGGAGCTCCTCAGCTCCCTGTGGTGTGGTTCGCCATTCCCATCCAATGGGAGCTGTGGGAAGTGGCACCACTTCCCAAGCTCCCATTGGCTGGGAACGGTAAACCTCGGCCACAGGGAGCTGAGGGGCTCCATGTCTGCAGACGCTCCAAGTAAACAAAACGTCCCGACCCGCCAGCGGCTTACCCTGACGCCCGGGAGCCAAAGTTTGCCAACTCATTTATTGATGTCAATACTGCAGCCTTTTAAAGTTGCAAAGGCTTTGTTTAGTGGACTAGATTGGCTTGAAAGGAACACTAAAAGAGCAGTGCTGCAGATCTGCATGACATTTGACCCATGCATTTCACAAAATGCTATGCCTTACAAGCCAATCAGAAAAATACAATGAACGATAGTACTATAGCACTGGTGTCAGTCCGCTACTGTGTAATTTGATCTTTTCATGCATTTCTACCATTGGACCTCATAACTCTCGAGCCAATATGAAAATATAACGTGCAGAATCGATGGAATCGCTAATAAAATTGAAATAGCCTGTTATCCCCACAGACATGCCAATCTACAGGTCTGCTTTGAAATAAACAAAGAATAATAATAATTTGACAGTGATAAAGCAGGTGACATGCCTATATAAAGTCCTACAAAATCTATAACTACAATAATAATAATAATCTATTCTCATACTAGTATTTAAAATGAACAAGGTTGAAATCAAAAGAAAAAGGTCTGCTTATCACGTAGCGTTCAAACTTAAAGTTGTTGAATATGCAGAAGCAAACAATAATTGCGCAGCTGCTCGTGAATTCTGTATCAATGAGAAGCAAGTAAAAGAATGGTGAAAAAATAAAACACTAAAAGACATGCCAAGAAGCAAGAAAAATGTCCAACGAGCTGCGCTTCATTTCCTGAGCTGGAGAAAGATCTCAATAATTGGGTTGTTGAATGTCAACAAAATGGGTACATTGTCACTAGAACTGGAATTTGTCTGCGTGTTCTGCAAATGTTGACAGACGACAAATACAAGTCAGTAAAGCTGTCAATGTTTGTCGCATCAGTTTATTATAAAATATCGAAAGGAATATGCATTTGAACTGTCACAAATAGGAAATATGGACGAAACACTGATGACATTTGATCTCCCGAGCAACAGAACGGTAACCGGTATTGGTGAAAAAACAGTTTTAATTAAAACCACTGGCCATGAAAAAATCCATTTTACGGTGGTTTTATCGTGTTTGGCAAATGGATCAAAGCTCCCTCCTGTTGTTACTTTCAAAAGAAAAACCTTGCCTAAAAACATGAAATTTCCTGCTGGTGTCATCGTACGTCTACACGAAAAGGGATGGATAGATGGATGAAAGTGGGACTATTGAATGGCTAGAAAAAGTGTGGAATAAGAGACCAGGAGCACTTTCAAGAAACCTGCTATTCTCGTTTGGGACATGATCAGGACACACAAGACGGATGAGGTGAAAAATGTGGCCAAAAATATGAAAACTACTTTGACTGTAATACCTGGAGGCTTAACTTCAGTTCTGCAACTGCTTGTTGTCTGCCTGAACAAACCCTTTAAAGACAGGCTACGCAAAATGTGTCTGAATGGATGTGCTCAGGCACGGCAAAGTTGACAAAAGGCAGGAATCTTATGAAGCCTGAAATCAATCTGGTCACCCAGTGGATCAAGGGTGTCCATTCCCTCGGAAATGACAGAAAAATCATTTAGGAAATGCTGTTTCAGCAATGTACCTGACGGGTCAGAAGATGATGCCATATTTGATGATGACACAACAGAAGCTGATGATGAGAAGGAATCTGAGTCTGAAGACGACACTGCTGACATCTACGATGACAATGCAGGTGCAGCTGTGACTGAAGCTGAGTTTAATGAACTGTTTGGTGAATCAGAGACTGATTCAGACTTTGAAGGATTTTAAGACTTTTTTAAGTCTCATATTGTTCTAAGTTACTTGTTTTAAATATCCATTTACTGATTTTAAATATTGACTGTAATTTTGAAGGTGAATACATATTTGTTCAGTTATTATAACAACTGGTTTTTTGTTAGATTACATTAAAATAATTCTAGCAAAATTTTGAGTGTTTTTTGTGATGCCAGCTTTTAAAATGTAGCAGGGGTTGGCAAACTTTGGCTCCCGGCCCATGAGAGTAAGCCACTGGCAGGTCGGGACATTTTGTTTACCTGGAGCGTTCACAGCAGGGAAGTGGCCCCGCAGCTCCCATTGGCTGTGAATGGCAAACCGCGGACACTGGGAGCTGAGGGGCTCTGTGCCTCTGAACGCTCCAGGTAAACAAAACGTCCAGGCCCGCTAGAGACTTACCCTAACGGGCCAGGAGCCAAAGTTTGCCACCCCTTGAAACATAGGGTCGGCTTATGAAAGGGTCATACAGTTTTTGCTATTTTTACCTAACTATCTTGGGGGTCAGCTTATAAACGAATGGGCTAATGAACAAGTATATGCGGTAATATTGCGATACCTTCTAGAAGACGATACATTATATACTTTTTTCCAAAATGTATTAGCATTAGAAATGGATTGCATTCAGTTACTTAATTTTATATCCTTTACTATTTAAATATATAAACTTTTAAAGGTTTAGTGATGTTTTATTTTAAACAGAATCCTTTCCCCCATCTTACATTGTTTATTATTTTACATCTCTATGATCTAAATGCCATCATTTTGAACAGGGAAAAACGATGTGCTGTAAACTAGGTTTTTTAGCCACTAGCACAAATTAAGTGTCTATGGTCTAATTTTTTTTATAGAGTTTAGAAGACTTTCTTTTGTGCCTTGATTCTTCAGCAGATGCTTGTGATATTATGGTGAAAAAAGGGGACAAAAAGAAGGAAAGGTAACTTTTTAAAATTACATTTATTACCTTAAAGAAATTGTGCAATGTGGGAAATATAGCACTATTTCTGCACACATTTTAGATAATTAACTTGGTAGCAGTGGAACATGTAGGTAGATAAAGGGTGGAGGGGTAGATAAATTCGGGGGTCTTCTTTTTAGACAAAGTTTAGGCATCTTTCCAAACATCAGATATTTAATTTGTAGATAGCTTACCAAGTTTGATGCTAATTTTTCTGATAGTGGAGATGGCTGCTTTATTTCATTTTTTACAGAGATGTCATTTTAAAAGTTCAGGATGGCATTTTTCAAAAGCTCAGGATGGCACTTTTGAAAATGCCACCCATTAATATTAAGAATCAGTCTGTTGGGAGGAAAAAAGTTAATATACATCAAATCTAAATACGTATTATAAATTTCAACCTGATAAAGAACAAAATAAAAAAAAATGTTTTCTCTATGCACTTTTTGTTTTCTTAGGCAAATTCTGTTTCAGCATAGACAGGCTCTGATTGAACAACTGAAAGTCACAGAAGATCCAGCTCTTGTTTTACACCTGACATCGATCCTGTTATTTCAGTTTTCAACACAGTGCATGCTTCATGCACCAGGAAGATGCGTACCACAAATCATTTCTTTCCTAACTACTAAGATCCCAGAGGTATTCTGCTTATGAAATAGCATCCTGTAGTGTCTGACTGGTTTAAGGAAAACACGGGACTGTCCAGCACTGAATAGTTCTAGGTATAGAATATCAAGGTATAGAATCTATAGGCATAGAATATAAAACATATAAATATATAGATATAAAATATCTATAGGTATAGAATATAAAACGTCTCTCTATTTTATCTGTCTCAGCCTGTTTGTTGGCATTAGCACTCTAGCACTTCCATGTGGCTTCATCTGTCACATGTCATCTGTAAATTACAGTGATCTGTGAGGATGATTCAGAGCTATGAGTTGTCTCGATTTCCAACCCTAGATTGTAGTTTAAAGGTTGTCATTTCACTGAGTTGTTAATGGAGTGGTTTCATGGGATCAACAACATAAATGTTCACCAGAGTCTACAGCAGGGGTGAGCAAACTTTTTGGCACAAGGGCCACATCTGGGTATGGAAATTGTATGGTGGGCCAAGAATGCTCATGAAACTGCGGGTTGGGTGCGGAAGGGGGTGAGGGCTTTGACGGGGGGTGCAGGCTCTGGGGTGCAGGAGGGTGGGACTGAAGGGTTCGGAGGGCGGGAGGGGGCCAAGGCTGGGGCAGGGTTGGAGCACAGAAGGGGGTCTGAGTGCAGGCTCTGGGCGGTGCTTACCTCAAGCACCTCCCAGAAGCAGCAGCATGTCCCCCCCTCTGGCCCCTATGCAGATGCACAGCCAAGCAGCTCTGCACGCTGCCCCATCCGCAGGCGCCACCCCTGCAGCTCCCATTTGCTCCGTTGGCGGGCCAGTGAGAGCTGCGGGGGAGATACTTGGGGCGGGGGCAGCATGCGGAGCCCCTGGCAGCCCCTACACATAGGAACTAGAGGGGGGACGTGCCACTGTTTCTGGGAGCCGCACGGAGCAAGCCCCCGACCCTGCTCCCCGGCAGGAGCTTGAGGGCCAGATAAAAACATCTGAAGGGCCGAATGCGGGCCCCGGGCCATAGTTTGCCCACCCCTGGTCTACAGGTATCTGCAACTTTATTGGATTCACCTTCCAAGGGTGGACCATTGAACAGGTCCTCATTCTCTAACCATTATCTCTCCCCAGTGAAGTGAGAATAAGTCCTGATTTATTTCAATTCAATTTTAAAGAAAATCCAAGGTGCACCCAAAAATGTGCTTCAAACTGCTGTTAATCAGGGCATAGCACTCCCTCCTCCAGTGGCTAAGCATGCTGTTTCTGTAGTGTAGATGCCTGTTCATTACTACAGACATCTTATTTTTGATATGCCTTAAAATATTCATGTAGCAATTTAGATTGTAAAATGTCTTGATGGATTAAAAATATTTGCTGACTTTAATCTCACAAAGTCAGCTGTGCTCCTTTAAATAACCTTAACCCATTTCTTTAATTTTTCCCTCCGCCTCAGGATCAACATTCTCTTCTGGTCAAATATCAGGGATTAGTGGTGAAACAGTTGATCAGTCAGAATTATAAGATTGGACAAGGGGATGATGACACAGTGGATGATAACCTAGGGGAGAAAGAATGTCCAGACACTATTCGAAAAGAACTCCAAGAAATCACCGCCTCTCTCAAAGATCTTGTTCTGAGACCCAGAAAATCTTCTGTAACAGAGGAGTGAAGGTCTAATTAAATTTTAAATCCAGCGAACAGTCAGAATATTTTTTTCTGAAAGGAGAAAGAAGTTCACTGTGTTGGGGTAGTGAAGAATGGTTGAGATAGTCTTGGCTTCCGAAATTTTGCGTATAGAATTGAAGCCTGAGGGATAACAGGCAGTGGTGGATCTGAATTTTGATTTACATTCTTTTAAAATATATATATATATATATTATATGCATGCATTGTTACATAAGACATTAATAGCAACACGTAAATTGGCTATGTAATTAAAATTCTAAGATGGAGCCTTTTATGTAGTATTTCAGGAAATATTTACTCTTTCAAATGGTTAAGAATTCTTATACATATATCCATAAGTTTATAATTTGCTTTTCAGATGTGAATTTCCCCTGTGCCCCTTTTTTTTTACCTGTTTAGTAATTATCAAAATGTAAACGTTTCTCTGGATTCCACAGCTACATTTTAAAATTAAGGTTATAGGTATGTAATAGCGTGGAATAAGAGGTCATCTTTACTTTTTTTGATCTCATGAATTGGAACTTTTTCAGGAGTGCATATTAAGCAGTGCAGAGGTTAATAATAAAGTGGTCAGGCACACCTGCACAAAATAGTAAAAATATCTGATCAGTTCAAATAAGGTTATTAACCAAAGAGGTTATGGTGCTGAATTAAGGATGGATTTCTAGAATTTTTTTCAATGAATTCCAGTGAATTTTGCACACACTATTATTTTTCATTTCATGTCCCTTAACTAATGATTTGTCATAAAACTGCAAGTGACCTATATTGGGTTTTTGTTTTGTTTTTTTTGAGGGGGTGAGGTGGGGGACTTCTGTAATTAGCATACAAGTTAGCTTGTTCATTTAACTGACGGGCACTCTTATTACAACACAGTTTCAGATACGATTCCTAGAGAGGTTTCTTAAGGGGACAAACATCCATTATATATGCCATTTTTATTTGAGAGAGTTTGGTTCAGAATTTTGTTCACTTTACAGTATGTTTCTTAAAAGAAATTCTGAAAATGTTAACCATTTTGGATATCAACTACAGTGTTTTTTCTAGTGTTAACCTATTCCCAGAGGTATTTGATATTATTTTGCAATATTTTTGTCATGCCCATTGTAATTTACATCCTCATTTGTACATGGGGTGTATTATATGTCTTAGAGAAAATATGTGTAAAGTATACCAACTAGAATCCTTCCAATATTAGTTAATTACATAAATTTTGTATGTCAGTTGTATATCTTTTTTATTTGTTTTGGATCCCGTGCAATTTTAATTTATCATATCAGTTTCAGCTTGTTATCACTGAAGTATGCAATGATTATATGTACTTGTAATGTTACCTAGTTGCTTGCATAAAATCAAGTCTGAATAGTAAGGTAATAGACATTGCTGTCCAGTGAAAATAATAGTTGTTCTAAGTATTCTCTCACTCTTGCCAAAACTCTTTTGGCACTGAGAAAAACCTACTGTAGGGATGTTACCAAGTGGCATTGTCTGTTAAATTCCTGCAGGTCATGTGCAGTGGTGTACACTGAGTAGACGTCAACCAAAAATGTCCCCAAAACTGTGATTGCAACAAAAAAAAGGGGATGAGATTTGAACTTTTGTCTTACTGCATTTAGGCTTGTTTTTAGAATGGAGTTTAAAAAACAGAATCACTTATATAAAATCACTAAATTACTGTACTAAATTCAATAATATCTTTACAAAACAGCAGTGATCCTGTACAAAAGAGCAGCTCCACTCTCTGCCCTCCAGACTTAGAGGCAGAGGCAGTTGTGTCCATCATCCTAGCTGGAAGCCCCTATACAACCATGTCACCTGAAAAGAAGGGCCAGAGAAAAGCAAAAGAGGAAAATATTCTGACTGCTTTAACTTTGTTAAAAAAAACATGGTTTGCATACAATAAACGTACTTAGTCTCTTGTTATTGAATCAAAATAGTTCTAATTTTCCTATATTAAATGTACACACTTTTAAATGGCATTGATGATTTTGTAAATAATACTGTACAATCTGATATCTTTATGCAAATATAATTATTTTAATAAAGTTAATGGTTAAGTGGATAAAATAGTTTCTGCTGTTGACTTAACCGCTGATATATTGATTGGATTTGCACTTGTTGCTTAAACTGCAGTTGTTAATGTGCTCCATTTGATTTGTTATACTTGCAATTTTGAGTGCTTCTCTTTTGCTTAATACTGTTGTAAGACATAATAATAATGAACTTGTTATAAGTCTCCTACATAATGCAACAGATTTTTTAAATTATAGGCCACATGATGAGAGTAATAAAACATTATTTAAAAAGGATAGGAAAGAAATACTAACATTCTAGTAGAGGTCTCTTCCTGGAATTTTCAGTGATTAATTTCAGTATGAGAAACCTTCACCAGTATTCCCATGCCAGAAAAAAATAAGTATTGGCTGTCTGTCTATCAAGTGCATTCCCAGTTAAAGGTGTCTTAATTATGAGAGAGAGAGAGAGAGATGGAATATGGTTTCCTCAAACACTTTGCTAATGATTTTTTTCCCTATATATAATGGACTTAGGGTTGGGAAAAAGGAAAGGATTCCTATTATTCTTAGGATTCTTATCCTAATGATCAGATGTTCGGTTCACAAAAAAAGGCTGCCTATTTCTTTTTCAGATAAATTTACATTGTAGCTTCATTTAAATTACTCTGTAGAAAAGGGCTGGGAAGCAGCATTGCTGTGGCCAACTTGTCCCCTCATTCCACTCATTAACAATACATGGTCCATAAAATTTCTTGTATATAGTCTCTTCCAAAGTGACTTTAAAAAAAGAAAGTGTGTGATTACTCAGGGAAACGCTTGAGGTTAGCCTTTGAGAAGTGGTGGCATTTGAAAACTATTGTAATATGTTGTGTACTCACAATTTAAATGACTTGCACGAGTGCAGTCTAAGATTGGTGGTGTAATCTAACAAAGGTTGTCCTGAGTTTCTGATAGGTATTTAGAACTTCTGTTACAGCTTTCTGTATACCTTTTAGTTAATGTTTTAAATGGCTTCATGTTTTTGACCTTAACATTTTCTTTACAGTAAGAGTCTGTGAGAGCAGTAGCCTTTTTGAAGGAACAGGAGTACTTGTGGCACCTTAGAGACTAACAAATTTATTAGAGCATAAGCTTTCGTGGGCTACTGCCCACTTCTTCGGATGCATATAGT